TATATGCAGAGTAAATATCAATTATATTAATTTAAATGTTAATATCTAATACGCTACGAAAAAAAACATTCTATATATTGAGAGTTAAATTAAGAGAAAGTAATATGATCAAAACTAAAAAGATTTTTTTCATGCGTAAAGAAGAAAAGTAGGAGTGATTAAATGATTCATGATTACCTGTTAAATTATATTTAAGGTAATGTTGTTTTCTATTTTTGTTATTTTTCTGTTGATGTAAAGGAAAAGAAAACTAATATTCAGAAATAAAAAAAAAAGAATAAAATTGTACAAATGCAAGTATTAATTGCTTATCCATTTAAAAGTGAAATCCCTTATCGCGATAAAGTAATTTATTTGCCAGAATTAGTTCAAGATGAATCAAATCTTCGTGCTGCTATTCGTCAACATCGTCCATATGTTATTATTGTTGGAAATAATTCTGTTGGAAGTGAAACACTTGAATTATGGCGTTCAATAATCAGTTATGATACTCAATTAACAATCATTCGAAGAGGTTCATCACTATCACGTATTCATGTTCATCGAGCTAAACAATTAAATATAAATGTATTAAATACATTAGGTGTAAATTCTCGATTTGTTGCTGAATATATGATGGAACATCTTCATTTACCAAATGATGGAACTTGTTCAACGATTGGAATAATTGGATCAGGTGCTATTGGAAGTCGGATTGCTTATCGTCTATGTCGAGCTAAACATAATGTTAATGTTTATAGTCCATCATTAACAGACCCTGATGAAACTGTTAGGAATAAAATTCGAAGAAGAAAAGGTATTGCTTCATCTAATATCAATATATCAATGACACCTGAACAAGCTGTTAGAAATGCTACACATGTTATACTTGCTGTTGATGCTGATAGAGTTACAAATATTAATGAACAATTATCGAAAGAATTTTTTCAAATAATACCAAGTGGAGCAAGACTTGTATCTGTTACTGAATTTCGTGCATTTGCTCCAGGAGCTCTTGATGTTCTAATTGAAAGAGTCCGACAAGGACAAATTAGTGCTCGTTTAGATTCACATGCGTTTGATTTAATTACAATTAAAGATCCTCCAAAAGAATTAGAAGCTGTATCAGCGGCTATGACTGTACCTGGATGTAGTGAAACTATGGATCAAGCTGCTTTTGTTCTTCTTGCCAATGTTGTACTTGAGCAATCATTTAAATCGCCATTGCCATTTTTAATTGATTCATCGAGAAAAAATGAAGAAATTACTATTATTGGAGCAGGCATCATGGGTTTAGTAACTGCTTTCTTTCTTAGTGAAAGTGGTTATAAGGTAACTATTATTGATGAACATAATCGTCCTGAGGCAAATAATGAATTTAATCAAAATGAAATATCTTGTCGTGGTACAACGCTTGATGGATGTGATGCCCGACATGCATCTATTACAGAAACAATGCCACATGCCGTATTTTATAGAATAGATAGCTTAAGAAAATATCCATTAGACAATGGAGGATGGAGAATAATACATGATCAATTTAATAATCGAGAACTTGTCTGGATTGATAGATTTACTGAACTTGCTGGTTATCCAGAATTAGTTGTCAATTTATTCAATCGATTTATATCAAATATAAATCGATGTGGAATCAAGTTATGGGATCATATATCTCAAAATTATCCAAATGTAGTTCAAGATACAATTAAAAATCGTCGGATTATTCGAGTATGTCCATCATTAACTTCATTAAATACTGTATCATCATTTCAAACAAAATATCATACAAATGAAGATAATCTTCAAATATTATCACATTCACAAGTTCTTGAAAAAATACCTTGTCTTGTACTTGCAGATGGAGATGCTGCTGGAATTGAAGTACCTGGTTTTACTATTAATGATGTGAAACTTTGTCACAATATGATTGAATTTTTAGAAAACAATCCAAATGTTAAATTTAAATGGTTAACTCAAGTTCGTTCAATTGATGATATATCTTCGTCAAAAATAATATTTACTTCAAGTCTTAATCAATTAGATTGTCCATTATTAGATAATGTATCATTAGCTGTACAAGGTGTCCTCGGATGTTGGACCAAACTTCCGAATGTTCATCTAATAAAAAATGGATTTAAAATAGTAGAAAAAGATCCAATCGGTGTTATTAATGTCACACCAAGTTATAATGAACAATATGTATACGTGACAGGCTGTTTTGCTTTTTGTGGCCAACGTGGAATTGTTCAATCACCTTATCTTAATCAATTAATTGAATTATTTTATTCAACAATACGTTCTTATTTACCTGATGAAATCGGTGCAAGTGAATCAGAAACTCTTCCAATAAGGTTTTGTATTCGTCCAATGACTCCCGATGGAATGCCAGTCATTGCTCAATTAATTAATGAAAATAAAGAACAGCAGGTTTATTTTGTTGGTGGAACAAATGCCGGAGGATTCGTTGAATCTCCAGTTTTAGCAGCAGTTGTACTGGATTTAATTCAAGGTTCAACAAATGATACAAGCCTTTGTCATGTTTATAGATCTTTACGTCTTGATAGATATACTCTTTTATTTAATTTAAATTCATCGAATTAATTTTATGATATTGAAACTGAATTTGTTATGATTTATCATTGTGTACTAAATCAAATGAAAACATATATAACAATTCATTTCTAAATAAATCTTTGTTTTTCCGAAATTGACTTTTTTGTTTTCCTTATATGTGAATGCACTTTAGTTTTGATAATAGAAAATAATCATTACTAATCTTTGAAGAAAATCAAACGAAAATTCTCGAAATCAATATAATAACGAAAAACTCATTCAATAACTGAAGATAAAAACTTCCATATCTATCCTTATTTCATCCAGATAACTACGATTATATAGAAAACAAGTTAATGACAATATTTAACAGCTATAATATTTAGTATCACACATGATTGGTTCTTGGACGTTTACGGGCAAAACTAGAAAAGTTTTTATCCGAAATTGCATGCTTTTAAATCAAGTATAGGCTTTGACTTGTTTATTCTATGAATTCTCTGCATATAGAACCGACTTTAATTAATATAATCACATATAGAAAATACATTAAACAGGAAGAAAGATCTACAGAGACTTTTTGAATTAATCAGTATCAGAATAGAGACATCCACGTTTTTTAAAATTGAGTTAGTCGTATCTTTTTCGACTATTTATGTTGCTATGAATCTGTTTTACGAACTAAAGATCATTCTAGAAAATCTAAAAACGCACTCAATTTTATCTTTTATGCTTTCGAGAAAGAATAATTGTCTTTTATGTTATTAAAATGTTTAGTGGTACCTTTAACAGCGAAGACATTTATACGAGTGCCTATTAATCAAAGGTATACTTGGGAGAAAAGCATAATGCCATATTATTTAAACTAAATACTAGAGATATATAAGGAGAACTATGATTCTATCATCATTACCTTTTCTCTAAGCGAACAAGAACAATGCTGCACTTTCTTGCTTGTTGGAAAAAGATTTTATGTACTTATATGTATCCATTCCTGAAAAAAGTTAGTAGAACCTGCCTCATGTTTATTGTTTAACTTTTACCGATCAAATATAATACGACTTTGCACTTTTTCGAATAGTACTTCATCTGTGATAGTTCCCCTCAGTTGGTTCAGATTGGATCAGCCTTATGTATAGAATCATTGGGTATCAAGTAAAATCAATAAGGGTATTTAAAATATAACCAAAGAAGTAATATATTACTTAATTGCTTAGAGTTAACCAAAACGTCTAACCACAGTATTTAAAATTTTATCAAGTAGTTAATATCGAAATTTTTATTGCATGAATACATAGTAGAATACCTCGACTATAATAATGTATACAGGACTGTTCTGACCCTTCCAACTTTGGGGAGGGGGTAAAAAATTTGTTTCACAATATACTGAGTGTTTCAAAAGCAAAAATTCTCAATGTAAGTGCAGTTTATTTTTCTTCACATAAAATATCGTTCAATTGAAATTATTACATAAAACAAGCAGATAAACAAAAGAAATAGGTATAGAAACAATTTCGAAACAAAAACAAAAAGAAAACAGCATTTAAACGTTCATTTAAAGCATACATTACCACTAATTAGTACTAAGTTTTACTCGTCGGTCTTTCATTAGAAACTAAAAGTACAAAACAAATAGTGAGTTAATAATAATGATCGAATATGCAAAAAACAGAATAAAAGTAAGTATTCTAACTTTTCATTTTGAAAGTGTTGTCCTCAAATAGTTCTTGATCAGTTTCATTTTGCTAAAACTTCCTGCACTGGTTGAAGTTGTTATTGGTAGTGTCAATATGTAATTATGTACGCTTGATAATCTTGGATATAAATGTTCTGATTGCTGTAATCATTGTACAATATGATTCATATCATCAAAATCTTTGATTTTATCAGTCAATAGTTGAAAGTCATTGAACAATAATTCTGGACTTGTTAGTTTCGGAATCAATTCACACATATGTTGACATTCATTTAATGTCAGTTGATCTATTCTTCCAGGTGTTATATTGGTAAACCATTTTAATTTTTAGTTCAGCATATTCAGAAAATCAGCATATGTTATATATAAGTGGTTGAGCACTTCATAAAATAATTTCAAATAAACAGATTCTCTGAAAAACAAAAAAAAACACTCTGCTAAATTCACCTCGCTTCTATGGACAGAATTTTTTCTGTTAAAAATTACCTCGTAAAATGAATAGCAGATTCTGATTTTTTCATCGATGCGCCGTAATGATCGACGAAATCGATGTAATCGATCAAATTCTTTATCAGCATTGACATTATATAGTTCAACGTATTTTTGGCCTAAACTAAAATATAGAATAAACAAACACGTATATAAAAAGATAAGTAACATGTATGACTTCACTAACTACTAAAATATTTTACAATGATTGATCATCATTCCTCATTTTTTGAATTAATTTTAAAGTATTATTCGTTAACTCTAGTGATGATAAAATATCTAATTATTTTGATTGTAAATGAATTGTTAATGAGTTGATTGTCCGTGTAATGTTTTCCATAAATTTTAATAACACAACTATTTCATATGAAACTAATTTGTTTCTCAAGTTTTTTCCTTGTAGTTTAGTTCCATGATCAAATTGTTTTTCTTCTTCAATCAATCCATAATAACGGACAATTTCATTATATGACTCAATAATACAATAAATAGATTCATAATTTGCAGTCCATCTTGTATCAGATAATGATTTTAGACTTAAATCATATGATGATTTTTCAAGTTCTTCACAAAGAAAATAGTATCTTTTCAAGTTTGTTGTAAAATAAGTGTATAACTCTTGTAGTAACATGTACAAGTTGGTAAATTCAATCGAACAATTACAGACATGTTTTGAAGCCAAATTAGAAGTATGTGCACTGCAAGAAATGTGCATGATTTCTCGATTAAAATGTTTATTAATGCATGCATGCACACCTTTGTTAATACCTCCCATGTTTGGAGCATTGTCATAACATTGACCGGCAAGTTTTTCTGATGGTATTCCTTTTTTTGTAATGTTTTTTACCAATAACAAACATATTTCTTCACCAACTTTACTTGGTAATTCTTGTATAGATAATAAACGTTCTTCAATTTAATAGTTCTTTGTATACCTGCACTGAAAAAAAAAATGATACGATACCGAACCAAAAAAGGTACTTTGAACGAAAAAAAGGTTTCATACATAGTACGGTACCTAAAAAGGTTTCGAATTCGTTGCAATTCTCTGAACCATTTTAGGTTCGGTACAGACCACTTCGAAAAACTAGAAAAAGTGTCCTGAGTCAATGACAATCAATTTTAGTCACCCAAAGTTTTGTACGAAACCTCTTGAGGGTTTCGTATTGTCTTCCTAAATGGTTCATTACGCTGCAAAAAAATTTGTATGATTATGGAACCATTTAGGACGACAATACGAAACCCTCAACAGGTTTCGTACAAAAATTTGGGTGACTAAAATTGATTGTCATTGACTCAGGACACTTTTTCAAGTTTTTCGAAGTGGTCTGTACCGAACCTAAAATGGTTCAGAGAATTGCAACGAATTCGAAACCTTTTTAGGTTCCGTACTATGTACGAAACCTTTTTTTCGTTCAAAGTACCTTTTTTGGCTCGGTATCGTCTCATTTTTTTTCAGAGTGAAAGCGATTGAATACATCTCACGGTGTGTGATGTATCTGAAGTGCTATCAGTCATACTTGATATAAATTGTGATTCTTTAATGTCGTCAATAACTAAACGTTCAACTGCTTCGCCTAACAATTGAATGTATTCATCTTGTGATCAGTTGCTCATATATGAAACCTAGATGCACAAATGTCTTTAACCATGAAGAAAAAAACATATCATACTTGATATTTTTCTAATTTTGATTTGAAAAACCATTCGTTCAATACTTGATTATTTCGATGTTATACAGAAACTAGCTGAACAAAGTTGCCTATTAATAAAAAAATTTAATTAAAATACACTTATAAGTGCTTATAAAACGTGTATCTACAAACCTTCATTCGATAAGTCTCGTCGAAATGCTAATCCTTGTCGTACAAGATAACGAGCAGAATCAAGTAAAATAATGATTACTTGTTTATTCAATTGTAAAATCATCTCTTGTTCTTGCTTCTCTTTACGTTGATTACCTTCAAGCATTAAATCAATATTCAACTTTTTGGTTTTGAAGTTCAAGTATCGATCAACTGATACTTTATGTGCCGTGGATAAGAAGTGTTGTTCGAGTTTGCCTAAATCCAAAGTAAATCAGAAATAATTCATTAGAGATGTAGTCTAGAATTTCCATGTTAAAACAATTCTTATCTACCTTTCTTTTTTACCCCCTGACTCTTCATTTTATGCCACATTGAGGCACCGTTCGAAATCCAAGCATCTGTATACTTTGCATCACCTGACCCTGAAGATATAAAATGGCGTAATGATAAATCAAAAACGATTTAGTTCATTTTAACCTTCAGCAAACAATCGCCATGTAAAGCAGAAAGCAGCATCTTTCTTTACGCTGTATTCAAGATACGAGTGTTCATCAAACCGTGTTGCAGCAAATAGACATGTCTTTCCATCTGCATACAATTCTTTGTTTTTCGGATATTGTTGTAAATCTACTTGTAATGGATATACTGAGACCAAATAACGTAATTGCTCTTCATTAAATTTATGATTGACATCGTAATAACCTAAACCATATAAAAAATAAAAGTAATTTTGTAGGATAGTCGAACATCTCGTGTTTACCTGAATTACGTTCAATCAATTTATCTTTTTCTGAATCAATTATTGTTAATTTATTTCGATTAATTTCTCTCTCTAATATCATATCAATACATAACTTTTTAAAATCATTTCCAGTTTGAAGGATTTTATCAGCAAAACTATTTGACTCTTCTATGAATGTTTCTAGACAGATACCAATAGATATGGATGAGGTGATGAGATGTTGACATGAATGAAGCAAGGCTTCAATCCTACTAAGTTTAACTTCTGTTTAATGTAAAACATTATTATTATTATTATTATTTGAGTAATTCACTGCTGTTATTCTTGTTGATTCTTCTGCATCAACAATATTATCTAATATATTCTGTAGTACGTTCGATGAATCAGGTGTAACAGGTACTGTAAAGCTCGTAATTGTTGTTTCTTTAACTTTTTTTTCTAGAAATATTTCAATTTGCTGTCACCGTCTCTATTACTGTTATCACGTTTCATGGTTGGGGATTGTGGATGCATTTACAATCACATGGAGATAACTGTTCAATAAACTACTATCTAAAAAATTGAATAATAGTAATTGAACCAGCAGTCTTTGTTCAGTTCTCTTCTCTTCTCTTCTTGCTATTTATAATGGAGCTAGTCTAGTTCTGAAAAGTAAAACTTTTAGGAGCATAAAAGAAAAAAAATTTGTAGTGCTCTTCATCTTGTGCTATGTTGAACATAATAGTAGTAGCACAGCAGTCGAACTATCTTTGTTATCAAGTTTCGTCACTCATTTCAATGTTCTTTTCTTTTTCTTCTCGCTTTTTTCTTTTCATTCCTTCTTTTTTCTTTTAAACAAATATATAGAACAGGTGGAAATGCAGTAACTTGAATTGAGCGTCATATTCAACACGGAACATTTATTATTTATTCGAATAAAGTCAACCGTTAAAACACTAGAGATAATTTACACAAGAAAAAGAACAATAGAAAAGTTATTGTCGAATAAAACTGATGTATTATTGTCAACTAATTTTTGTCTTCTGTTAATTGAGCCTTGATCTTATGCTAACTTGGTAATCTTTTAATTAATCCAAATGAGAAAATATCAATTATTGGGGAGTGTCACACCCCGGCCACCCCCTCCCTTCCCCTGGTCGGGGCAGCCCTGCTCATCTGTGATAGTTTGCTTCAGTCTGGTTGGGTCAGCCTTGATTATTATATCATTGGAAATCAAGAATAAACCAATTGGTACATTTAGAATATTTTCAAAGAAGAAATAAAGCATTTAATTAAGTATATTTATTAAAAAAGCAAACCTTAAGAAACAGTTTAAAACAATGAAAAGATTTAATTGATTGAATGAGTCTCGTATTAAGTACGTTCTTTTTATTTGTTTTCTTTTCGAAGGTTTCGCTTATCAGGAAAAAACGCGCTTGTTACTTTGTCACTTAAAAAAACGAATATTCAAAAATTAGTCGTTCAAATCATGAAATAGTTGCCATAGAAAATTCTATTGGACTGTATTGAACCTCTGTTCATAATATTTGAAACTAAATCATGATAAATGAGCACGATGGATATGATTAACGAGTTTTTCAATGAACTACTAAAAGTAATATTGGATTTTAGAAGGTTCTAGATTATTCAATCATGAGTTGATGCACTTCTACGAAACCTAATTAAGTTAAGATATGAATTGTCTCTTATTAAATATCTTCTATCAGCCATTCTACTAGTAATATATGTTAATATGACTCATAAGTTACATATTATCGTAAAAACATCGTATTCATTTGAGATATTTAACGACATGCTAGGTTAATTTATTTACAAAAAAAAATTATTTTCACTGAAGTAAAGAAATGAGTTACAATTAATTACAGATTTTAATTAACAACAATGGAATTATAATGATATAATTTGTGAATTAATATATAGTTGATAAGTGAGAGCACCTGATAATGGTAAGAAAAATTAACTTGCTAAAACGAGTTTGAAAAATTTTCTATTACTTATGCTATTGCTCGAAGGTTGATTTTATTGTTCTTAGTTTTGGTAATAGAGCTTAATGATTTCATTCATTTCAAGTGTTTTGTTTTATTTTCGATTTTTTTTTCTTAAAGAGTGAATCAAAAGATTTGGCTGTTTCTGTCACAAATGCATGGAAAAATTATGGTCACTGGTACAAATCAATAACCGTCTTACATGACATAAACCTTCATGTTCCAACAGGAATTATGTATGTTATTTTATTTGTAAAAGAAAAAGAAACTTAAATGACGAATATTGAAATGTAGATATGGTTTATTGGGTCCATCTGGATGTGGAAAAACAACTCTTTTACGTTGTATAGTTGGTCGTCTAGAATTAAATCGGGGCGAAATAATTGTATTGGGTAAACGACCAGGTAGTCGTGGACACGGAGTTCCTGGTCGATCAGTTGGTTTTATGCCACAAGAAACAGCACTTTATAAAAACTTTTCAATATCAGAAATGCTTCATCATTTTGGTCGTCTTCATAATATGAGTCATAAAGATATTTTATCTCGAGAAGAATTTCTTGTTTCATTTCTTGATTTACCTTCAAAATCAAAAAACGTTTCACAATTAAGGTTAAATTTATTTTAAATAACAAAAAAAGACTTGCTGTTTTTTTTCATAAAGTGGTGGTCAACAGCGTCGTGTATCATTAGCATGTGCTCTTCTTCAACAACCTCAGTTATTAATTCTTGATGAACCAACTGTTGGAGTTGATCCTTTACTTCGAGAAAAGTTACTGTTTAGTTATTTTTTTAATTAGAGAATTTTATTTTATTGTTATTTTTAGAATCTGGAGTCATCTTATAAATATATCAAAAACAAGTAAAACAACAATAATAATAACAACTCATTATATTGAAGAAGCAAGAAAAGCTGATCGAGTATGAATCTTTTTTGTCTTACTTGTAATAAAAAATTGTATTCAGGTTGGACTTATGCGTAGCGGAAGAATGTTAGCTGAAGATGAACCATCTCTCCTTTTGAATAAATATAATCAAACAGTTTGTTTTTATTTTTATTAAAATAATTCTACTAAATAAAAAAAAAACAATTTTAGAGTTTAGAAAATGTTTTTCTTCAATTATGTTTTCAAGACCAAAATCGTTTTCAACAAGAAATTTCAATGAATAATACAGATGGCGATAAAGATACTGATATACCCGATAATATTGATGATCAAAATTCATCTGCTACTTCTATTCAAGTGTCAGTCAACAGAACGAATGGAAATGTTCTTCCATTAGATAATCGAAGTCGAAAATTCGAAAAAAATCGTAAGTTTAGGTCGAAAGAAAAATAAAGAGAAATAAAAAAATGAAATACTTTTATTAAGCTTTGATATATGCTAAACGAGTTGCAGCTGACTATTTTATATTACCTCATATGCATAAAATTTATGCATTAATGTTGAAAGATTTAACAGTAATTAAACGAAGTATTGGGTAATTTTTTTTAGTATTCTATTTATTGTTTAATATGAGTTTGTTTTTAGTTTTTTGTTGTTTCAATTTTTAATTCCTGTTATTCAAGTTGCACTTTTTTGTCTTTGTATTGGACGTATGTTGATTTGATATTCTATTGATTTATACTAAACCCCCCCCCAGAATAAAAGGCCATGGCCTTTTATTATGGAAATTCACATCGCTCTTTTCAGGGTGGCCTTCTATTAGGGGTGGCCTTCTAATAGGACTTTTATGGTAAAAAATTACAATTTTTTTTTGTTAGTTGCTGATTCTGTTTTTCTAGCTCGACAACTGAAAATTGAAATTTGTTTAGACTTTTTGAGCTAATGCTACCCATGTAGCCGATTTTATGAAATAATGGGCATTGCAATGCATTATTTTACAATAGAAATGCAATGGATGCAATTACATGATAATGCAACCTATTTCATGCATTATAATGCATTATTTTTAATTAATCCATTGCAATACATTGATTTATCAACGCATCATAATGCATTTTTTTTTATAATAATGCATTACAATGCATTGAAAATTTAGGCATTATCCTTCATTTTCAGCATTATTAGAAATAATGCATTGAAATGCATTGAAAAGTCAAAAAATAATTAATTATAATGCATTAATTCATGTTTTTCTTCAAATAATGGAAAATAATGGATCATTTTCCATTATTCATCCATTATCGGCTACATAGGTATTATATTTAATCAACAAATATTAGTATACCTATCCGATGTCTGGCACCACAAATACTTCAAAGAACAAAAAAGTTTTTATATGTATTCAAAAGATATGTAATCGTACCAAAGCAAAAGAATTGAAGCGATCAAATAGGCATATTAAACTTTGTTTTGTTTTGACAGCTTTTGGAAATTGAACATACCTCTTTAAATTTATAGCAAAACCAAACAGGAGTGCGGTGGAGATCATACATGATCTCTCAAAATGCTAAGATATTTATAAAACTAGCACAGAATATTTATGTAATATCCAAACAATTCATTAGAAAGCCATGGCCTTCTAATGTGACTTTTGCAAATATGACTCAGGGGTGGCCTTCTAATGGGGGTGGCCTTCTATTCTGGGGTGGCCTTCTATTCTGGGGGGGAGTTTATTTTAAAAATGATATTTAGGTGAACCTGAACATATTCCAATGGCACTTTACAATAGTGAAGCAATCCATGGATTTCCAACAGGAAATTTAAGCTTACAACTTTTAAATAAAATAAATCCTGAACAAATTCATTTTGTAGGTTAAAATATTTCTTTTCTTTTTTGTAGTTAAAATTTATTTTATATTAAAATTGAAGACGTCATTTAATGAGTTTGATAAAGCAATGGACGTTGTAAAACAAGGACATTATTGGGGTGCTGCTATTATACAATTTAATTTTACACAAGCAATCAAAAATAAGTTCGTATTTTCTATTTAGATTTTGTTTCTTCATTCGATTTTTATATTTTAAAGATTATTAGGGTTTCAAACAGATCCAGCTACTTTAAATGCCTCATCACTCCATCTTTATCTTGACATGACGAGTAAGTATACGATATAATATTTATTTCTTCACTAAAAATACAATTAAAAAATTGATCTATCCGTTTTCTATAT